CGGGGGGTACCCCCAGCCACCCTACTATGCCGGGGGGTACCCACAGCCCGGGGGATACCCTGCAGCAGGGGGGTACGCACAGCCAGGGGGGTACCCAGCAGCAGGGGGATACCCCCAGCCGGGGATGGCCATGCCCACCATGCCTGTTCGGTTCAGTAAGTGGGGGCACCTTGGGTTTTTTGGCAGGGTGGGGGGGACACAGATGGACTAGAAACAGGGGTGCTATGGGGGGGCTGTACAGCCAACCCTGGTGCTCAGTGGTGTCCCCCACCACAGGTGACGACGGCATTGGGGATGGCTCCCCGCTCCAGTCATCTGACTGGGATGACAGGAAAGTCCGGCACACCTTCATCCGCAAGGTGAGTCCTGGGGAGCTGGGGGCACCCATCAGGATGGGGGGCACCTGTTGGGGTGGGGAGCTGGGTGCTGACCCCCCTGTCTCTTGCAGGTCTATGCCATCATCTCCCTGCAGCTACTGGTGACGGTGGGGATCATCGCCGTGTTCACTTTTGTGTGAGTAGAAGGTCCCTCCTTAGCCTTGCCCCCAAAAAAGGAGGAGCCTGGCCCCGTGTTCCATGGTGGGGGGTCCTGAGGGGGCAGTAGTTGCTGTCCCCCCACCCTCACACTTGTCCCTCCTGTCTTACAGCTCTCCTGTCCGCTCCTTCGTCCAGAGGAACGTCGCCATCTACTACGCCTCGTAGTGAGTAGGGGGTCTGCCAGCTCGCAGCCCCCCCGGGGTGCCCTCCAGCAGCTGGCACCCCACAATCGCAGCTTCCCAGCCTGGTGGTGTGGGGCAGGGTATCACAGGGCTGACATCCCCTGTCTCTTTTTGCAGCGCCGTGTTCGTGGTGACCTACCTGGTGCTGGCCTGCTGCCAGGGTCCCCGGTGAGTTGCTGGTGGCTGGGTCCCCAGGGGTGGGGGTGTGTGAATACGGGAGGGGTGTCTCCAGGGCATCGGGAGGCAGGGTGTGTCCTTGCCTGGGGCTCCCCCGGGGGGGGTATGAACCAGGGGGACATGACATGGCTGCTGTCTCCAGCTCATGT